TGTCCCCTCCGCACCCCCCGTGTCCCCCCGTCCCTCACCTGGTGGCATTGGCCACCACCTTCAACACGGGCCCCAGCTCCGCGCCGTGGGGCACGTCCAGGGTGACGGTGAACACGACCTGTGGGACAGGGCACCCCATTGTCACCTCCCAGCGATGTCCCCAGGGGGTGGGGGAGGTGGGGACACCGGGGACCCCCCCGTACCTCGGCGCTGGGGTGGAAGATGGGGTGGCTGACGAAGCAGAGGGTCCTGCGCCAGGCTCCCTGCGCCGGGTCCGAGTTGCAGCTCAGGGACATGGACCTCCTGGAGGACTGAGAACATCCCATGGCGGGGCTGAGGGGTGGGCAAGGAGAGCTGGGGGGGTCAGGGGAGGTCTGGAGGAGGGATGGAGGGCAGAGAGGCTTCTGGGGGTCTGGAGGAGGTCTACAGGGAGGCTCCATGCTCTTTTGGAGGGCTTGGGAGACACCTGGAAGGGCTTTGGGTGGGCAAATGGGGATCTGGGAGGTCTTGAGGGCATCTGGGGAGGTTTGGGGTGTCTTGAGGGCATCTGGAGAAGGTTGATAGGCTTATAGAGGTTTTTGGGAACATGCAGAGTTTGGGGGAGTTGGAGGGCAGATGGACTTCTGGGGGTGTAGAGGACATCTGGAGAGGGCTGAGGAGCCCACATGGGGCTGAGGACATCTATAGAGGGGCTGGACATCCACATGAACTTGTAGATAGTCCTGAGGGCATCTGGGAGGGCTTTAGGAGGCCAAATGGGCTCCAGGAGGGCCTTGGGGAACTCTGGGGGGTCTTCTCAGGTCTGGGGGTACCTGGAGCACCACGGCCTTGCGGTAGGAGAGGGCCGCGGCGTGCTGCAGCTGGACGGTGGCCCCGTAGGAGTTCTCCCCGTGGTTGCGGAGGGTGATGGTGATGTCCACCGTGTCGGTCACCCCCACCACGATGGTGTCCAGCCTGGAGGGGGGAAGAGAGAGGGGGTGGCAGGAGGCAGGGGACAGACCCCAGTGTCCGTTGGTGTCCCCCAACAGAGGGACCTACCTACCCCGAGAACCTACCCCGAGAAGGTGAAGGACATCTGGAGGTTGTCGATGCAGACGTTGTCATCGCCGCAGTCCTTCTCGAAGGGCAGCTGAGGAGACACTCTGTGCGTCCATCTCTCTGTCCCCTGGCTGGCCGGCTGTCCCCCCTCCGTCTTCTACCCCCTCCCACGCCTCGGCCACCCACATATCCCACCCCACCTTCCCATCCATCCATCCATCCATCCATCCCATCTCCCCATCCATCCCTCCCTCCCTCCCACCTCCCCATCCATCCATCCATCCAACCATCCATCCATCCATCCCACCACCCCCATCCACCTCTCCTTCCATCCCCCCCACACCTCCCCAACCCTACGCCCCACCACCGCTTCCCCCACCCCAAACCCCACCACCATGGGGTGCCCCCCAGCCCCTACCGTGCCCACGGTCCCCATCTCCGAGTCCTCGCTCAAGGCTGGACGCAGACCCCCGGCCACCTCGATGGGGTCCCCCGTGGCCTCGTAGGTGAGACGCAGCACCAGGGGGGTCAGCGTGTCCCGGGGGCAGCCCTGCCCGGCACAGAGAGACCACCGTGTCCCCCAGGAGGCCATCGTGGGCTGGTCCCACCCCCAGGACCTTTCCCCACACCCACCGTGAAGGCGATGGACAAGGTCTGGCACTTCTGACCCACGCCCAGATGGAGGGTCTCGTTGTGGATGGCGCTGCCGCCGGCAAACATGGCCCGGACCATGGCCCGGCCGGGGTCCAGGGCCGCCTGGTACCAGAGGCTGGTGGAGAGTTGTCTACCTGTGGAAGGGGGAGATGGACAGCCAGATGGCGTTGGGAGGCTCTGGAGGACATCTGGAGGCGGTTTAGGAGGCCACGTGGGCTTCTGGGGGACTTGGGGACATCTGGAGGTGGTTTAGGAGACCACGTGGACTTCTGGGGGACCTGGGGACATCTGGAGGGGGACTGGGGATCTTGAGGACATCTGGAGGTGGTTTAGGAGGCCACGTGGGCTTTTGAAGGATCTAGGGACATCTGGAGGGGGACTGGGGATCTTGAGGACATCTGGAGGTGCTTTGGGAGGCCAGAAGACAGGCTTCTGGTGGGTCTTGTCTTCTACCCCCTCCCACGCCTCGGCCACCCACATATCCCACCCCACCTTCCCATCCATCCATCCATCCATCCATCCCCGCCCTCCCTCTTCTGCCCCCTCCCACACCTCGGCCACCCACCCATCCCACCTCCCCATCCATCCCTCCCACCTCCTCATCCATCCATCCATCCATCCCACCTCCCCATCCATCCATCCATCCAACCATCCATCCATCCATCCCACCACCCCCATCCACCTCTCCTTCCATCCCCCCCACACCTCCCCAACCCTACGCCCCACCACCGCTTCCCCCACCCCAAACCCCACCACCATGGGGTGCCCCCCAGCCCCTACCGTGCCCACGGTCCCCATCTCCGAGTCCTCGCTCAAGGCTGGACGCAGACCCCCGGCCACCTCGATGGGGTCCCCCGTGGCCTCGTAGGTGAGACGCAGCACCAGGGGGGTCAGCGTGTCCCGGGGGCAGCCCTGCCCGGCACAGAGAGACCACCGTGTCCCCCAGGAGGCCATCGTGGGCTGGTCCCACCCCCAGGACCTTTCCCCACACCCACCGTGAAGGCGATGGACAAGGTCTGGCACTTCTGACCCACGCCCAGATGGAGGGTCTCGTTGTGGATGGCGCTGCCGCCGGCAAACATGGCCCGGACCATGGCCCGGCCGGGGTCCAGGGCCGCCTGGTACCAGAGGCTGGTGGAGAGTTGTCTACCTGTGGAAGGGGGAGATGGACAGCCAGATGGCGTTGGGAGGCTCTGGAGGACATCTGGAGGCGGTTTAGGAGGCCACGTGGGCTTCTGGGGGACTTGGGGACATTTGGAGGTGGTTTAGGAGGCCACGTGGGCTTTTGAAGGATCTAGGGACATCTGGAGGGGGACTGGGGATCTTGAGGACATCTGGAGGTGCTTTGGGAGGCCAGAAGACAGGCTTCTGGTGGGTCTTGAGGACAACTGGGGGTGCTTTGGGAGGACGGATGGACTTCTGAGGTTTTGGGCATCACGGGGAAGGGGTTTGGGGGGTCAATATACGCTTCTGAGGGCATCTTGGGGACACCTGCTGATGCTTTGGGGGTGGAGTTCAGGTGGAGTTCTGGGAGGTCTCACCAAAGTTGTCAGGGGTTTTCTTGCTGCTGAGGAAGCAGATCGTGGCCTTGGCCACTTCCCCCTTGAGGGCTTCCTCCTCTTGGCAGTCAAAGGCGGCTGTGGGGATCTGCTGGGGCTGGAAATCCACCTTCAGGCGGACCTTGAGCAGCGGCTGGGACCTGGCGGTGACAACCGGAGGGGGGTTGGTGGTGGCCACAGCCTCCCCCAGCCCCCACATGGACGGCCCCAGGGGGGTTCCCCAGGCCCACCTGAGCAGCAGGACCTGTCCCTGGGCGCCCACGGCCACGTCCGGCAGCCTGTCCCCTGTCAGGTCCTGGCCACCGCTGATGGCCTGGCCAAAGTAGCGTGGGCCACTGGAGAAGTGGGCACCCGGGATGCGCTGGGGAGACAGAAGGGCCCCAGGAGGTGAGAGGTCTCTGGAGCCCACCATGTTCCCAGCACCTGGGACATCTTCAGGAGCTGGAGCCTCTCCAGCTTCCAGGACATTGTGGGCATCTGGAGCTTCTCAGCATCCAAGACGCCTCCTCCACCCAAGACGTCTCCACCACCCAAGACATGTACAGCACCCAGAGCTTCTCCACCACCCAAGATGTCTCCAGTACCCAGAACATCTCTAGCACCCAAGACGACTCCACCAGCCAAGACGTATAGCTCACAAAGTGAGCATCACCCAAGATGCCTCCAGCACCCAAGATATGTATAGCTCACAAAGTGTCTTCATCACCCAAGATGCCTCCAGCACCCAAGATGCCTCCAGCACTTAGGACTTCTCCACCACCCAGGATACCTCCAGCATCCAAGGCTTCTCCAGCACCCAGGAGAAGGGGCCATCCCCACCCCCAGGACCAGGAGAAGACGGGTCTCACCTGGCTGTACTGGGAGGCGACGCCCCCCTTCTTCCCACGGAAGACGTAGACGGCCCCCCGCTCCTCGTCCTCCAGCGGGGCCCCCACGGCCACGTCTGACCACCCGTCCCCGTCGACGTCCCCCAGGTGCCCCAGGCTGGCCCCGAAGCGGCCCAAGGGGTGGCCGGGCTGTCCCTGCAGAGTCTGCTGGCACCGCAGCCGCCCCTCCTGGGGGGACACCCGGGGGGACAGGGGGCAGACGGCCACGCGGCCCCCGCTGCCGCCCCCGTAGAACATGGGGGCCCCCACCAGCAGCACCTCGGCCGAGCCGTCCCCGTCGGCGTCCAGGGCGCAGAGGGACGCCCCGAAGTAGGAGCCCACCTGCGGGGAGAAGAAGCGGACCTGGGTCGGCGTCCCCGGCCCCCCACTCGGTACCCGTCCCCTCCCCGTGTCCCCGAGGGTACCTGCGTCCCGGTGGCCTCGGCCAGGGGCTCCCAGGCACCCCAAGGTTTGTGGTCAAGGAAGAGGAGGAGGCGGCCAACGTGGCGGTAGCGGGGGGCCCCCAGCGCCAGCACTCGGTGGCCCCACAGGGACAGGGACTCGGCCGCGTAGCCTGGGGACAGCGGGGGTGAGCGGGGGACACGGTCCCA